ATTGTTTCAAATTTGATATTTATACCCTCATTTCAAGCCTTTCCTATGAAAGTGGTCCTTTCCATCACGTTTCGTTAATTCTATCGTTAAATAAATGCATAAATTCACTCACTTTTTTTTAAAAGGGTAAATTAGTCAAGTTACTATATATATTTTCCCCTCTAAAAGTTTTTGGTGAATATCATTCTTACGGTTTGATATAATTAACAAGTTTATACTTCATCTCAAAATGTTGTCGGCAAATATTATACCTAACCCTTTAACTATTTAGCACAAATAACCATTGAGAAGCAATGTAATACAAGTTCTCAACATTAGCCCGCTAAAATAGATACAAAACACCATAAAAAAAAAAAAACCTGCTACACAATAGATAATTACATTCTTAACCAACCAAACACGATCTCAATATTTTTTGATATGCTAAACTGTCTACCATGTAAATTGCATTGAGCTATTAGACAAAAATTGATAAGATCTACAAAAATGATTGCAGCAGTCAAAAGTCAAACCACACCCCAGGTACCATTTGGTTGTGGCAAAGTGTTGCAGGTTCTCTTGTTGTGGCCTATTTGTCCACACTTTTTGCACTTTATCTTCAACCCCATCCTACTTGCATTTGAAGATGCCTTCTCATTACTTGATGAACCCATACCTTTACTATCTTCCTTTCGTCTAGCTTTCTTTCGTCTCTTGGCCTTTTTGGTGTATAAAGGTGGATTCAAGGGATCAAGACCTGGATTAGGCCACAAATTTGGACTTGTCATGGGTGAGATAAAGGGTGTATATGTTCTAATGTAGGCCACTTTCTTGTAGATGTCATCTGTATAGTTAATAACCTTCATTCTCCTTGAGATTAAGGATGTAATCAGATGGCAACAAGGGATCCCAGTCAACTACTAAGCTCGACAAGAACAAGTTTTTTGCTTTGATATTTACTGCATTAAGGGTTCCAATGTTATTCCTGACTTGGAACTTTCCATTGCTGGAGTAATCTGTATACTCTCTCCTTGCAAGGTCGCCATTCTTGCTTAATATCTTTTGAATTCTAGGCCCAATTTCTTCATTCCATTTTTCACAAGCTTCCCTTCAGATTACAATCATTTTTATCAAATATACCCTAATTTCTTCTAGCATTGTCAATATGGGATGCTCTCTTGCATTAAGTAATGTGCTATTGAAATCACATAGATTGTTCAATAAACATGTCACATCTAGTTCCTTCTTGGAAGTGTGATTTAGACCATTGAGAAGCTGGTTTTAACTCAAGTCATCCATATGCTGCTGCATCCAAATCTTGTGTCCTTTGCATGTGTTCTAACCATTTTGGAATTATTGTTGCTCTTGCTGCATCCAACAGACAATTTTTTAAAGATGGACCCTTATGAGTAACACTAAAATTATTATACAATTGACGAATGCATGTTCAAAGAGTGATCCAATTGCATTTGCCAGCCCTTTCTATTTGTCCGAAATGAATGTCCATCCATGGGAGTTATGAATCCTTAAGTCATCTCTCAGCAATGTTAAAAACCAACTCCAAATTTCTCCATACTCAGTCTCTACCATTTCATAGGCAACTGGATACATTTCGTTATTGCCATCAATCCCAACTGCAGTTAACAACTGCCCACCATGTTCTTTTTGAGAAAAAAACCATCCATCCCAATAACTCTCCTGCATCCATTAATGAAACCTTCCTTTAATCCTCCTAAACATACATAAAGCCTCTAGAATTCTCCTGCATGCCCTTCCAATTGAATTGTACTCCCAACAATTGTCAACCTTAATTGATGACAATTGTCGGCCAATACCCTATAATGCTCTACAACACTCCCTCTTATCTTCTCCATTGCCTTTTCCCTTGTCCTATAGAATGGCCATATGATATGTCCCCTAAATTGGCTTTCTTAACTTTATCCATAAATCCACTGAATGTCATGTTAGGTTTAGCCCTAAAATCAGAAGCATACTTGCCTGCTAAATATGTTGGAGTTACTCTCCTAGTTTTGTACACCATACTGCAGATATGAACACCTTTAAAATTCTTAATTTCGAAGCTTAACTTATCCTCTTGTTTTGTTGCATACAAAATCCATGCGCATATTTGTTTACAAATAGCTCTCAACCTCTTAGCATTATTCTTCAAATATTTCAGGGGCAGATTTAGGGCCTAGTTGGACTGGGCTTTAGCCCATTGCAGTCTTGGGCCATATACCATTTTTGTGTGTAAAATTTCTGGAAAAAAAAGTTATAGCTCGGCCCAAATTTATAATTAGCTCACTGTTTCCATTCCAAAGTCCAACCCAGTAACACACCTAATACACTAGCCCACTGTTTGACTCCATCAAATCATTAAATCCAATCCCAGTCCAATATCAAAATTAGCCCACAGATTAACTCCATTCCATAATTTCCATTGAATCCATTCCAAAGTCCCAACCCAATAACCCATCTAATCATCAAATCATGCATTCATACTCCTCAAATTCTTCCCGTTGATTTTGGAAACGCCTAAAGACCCAAGCTTCTACAAGTCAGAAAGAAAACGATACTGGTGGCAACGTATTCTTTAGTTCACGGTTCATCTCTGACTCCGATTCTTTAGCTCAAGGGATACAACTTCAGTGGTCATGTCTTGATGAAACCTTATGTCGTATACTTTATAAAAATTTGTGCATATATATTTTAAATTTTAGACCCCCCCAACATGATTTTCTAGATCCGCCCTTGAAATATTTGATCTCCCTATTATGCCTCACTCAATGCTCCTTCATAGCATCTTTCAAAACCTTCTTTGACAATATTTGCCCTACCAATCCTTAAAAAGTAGTGTAAAAATTTATTTAGGAAACTGAAGGCAATAATTATAGTTTCATTACTAACCAATTTTGAATATTGGATCCTCCGTACCTATTCTAGAATTGAATACTTCACTCCTTATCCTTTTTTGAGAAGTGCCTTCTTCTTCATCACTATCCAAACTCCTTAGTTCATCTGCATCGCTATAATTTGTCTCAATCACTTACCTCCTACTCATTTATAAAACCAAATCCAAAATCCACATTCATTTTTGGATGATCAATTCAGCATTTTCAACAAGGTCTTCATCTATTTCATAGTCAAAATCGACAAGTACATTATTTAGTTCTATTCCTTGCTGCTTTTCGTTTTGTACTTCATTTACACCATCATGTGATTCAGTTGTATTATTGACATCAAAAGTAGGTACATTTTATCCAACATGATATGTCATGGTTTCCTCCGCTTGTGACCAAATTGTATCATGATTTGCATAGGAAAAACTTTCATCCCAATCATATTCTTGGTTTAGCTCATCTCTACATTCAGTATCAGGCACATAACATCCTTCTTTGATTGGATCAGACCTCTCACAACTTTCAATATCAACATGTTCATTTGGAGGTTGATTTGAAGCATCAAACTAAAAATTCCAACACAAGCAACGAAGACGATATTATTATGCTAGATTTAACTAAACTAGTGAATAAACATTTCATGTTCACTCAATTTAAAAACATGTAAATAAACATACAAAACTTACCATACTAATGGTAAATAAGTGTTTATAAAATTCCAATAACTAGTGCAATTCAACAATGAAAAATCTGTTAAAAAATATAGAGAACTCTTAAAGATAGATAACTTTATTCACTTCAATATGTTCAATGATGAAGCCTAACATTCTTTATATAAAAACCATATTGATTAAAATATAAAAAAGAAGATAAAAATAGGCACATCCCATTTGACAACCTAAACTATGGATTTTTCTCTTACATTTTTTTTTTAAAATTTTTTCAATCCAAATATGAAACAGGATAGAAGGTCAAAATTGCATTTGAAACAAAATATAGCTTTTCCAATGGAGTAAAACGCCATAATGGAGTGGGTTGTGTAAAATAAATTACATATCCAAATCTGCATACATATCCAAATGGAAAAATACAAAATAAATTAACATGACCAAAAAGGGAACTTCAAATGATAAAATGTGTGCTGTGATTGTTGGTTGGGTAGCAAGCCTCATCATGGAGTGGGTTGCCGGAGTAAATCGATCTATGAAAACAACTATCATTTCAAAATTTGAAAATAAAACTTATCGGCATCGACATTGCAATTGCTGATGTCAGGATTGCAGAGAGAAGTTGGTAGTGTAATGTGTTCAAATGGCTACTTCTTCCTTTTGGAAGATTTTGGAAAAGCGAGGTTTGGTGTGGTTTAATCAATTTGAGGATTTTGTTGGCTACGGTACAACTCTATGCAAACTACAGGAACTTTACCCCCCAAAAAATATTGATTTACCTCCTAAGTAATGTGAGTGAATTTCATGCATTTCTTTAACGGTGGAATTAACGGATCATGACGGAAAGGATCAGTTTTGTAAGAAAAGTTTGAAATAGGGGTGCAAATGTCAAATTTAAAACGATAGGGATTATTTTAGCAATGAATGTAAACGTTAGGGACTTTTTTGCTAATTACTCCAAAAATTATTCTACTTGTTATATTCTTGCCATGTGTACAAAACTCCCTTCAACTCTGGCTGTCGACATACTTTTTTCAATCTCAGCCATCCATTATTATTGTTTTATTATTTGACCTTTCAATTGCTAGAGTGGATCAATTATCGAATTTGCATGGTTCACAATTAATTTATATTATATTTTAAGCATAACTTAATAATTGTGTCAATATTTTTATTTTCTCATATTTAAATATTATTGATAGAGAATATACATAGGAAATTAAAATATAATAACATCAAGAAGTCTTAAACATTATTATTGAAGATAACTTTCATTAATAGCATAACTCATCCAAGTTGAAGAAAAGGGGAAAAAGGAATACGTTGTCACTGTAGTCGCTCTTTTATCCATCGATCGATACAAAATCATACTATTAGTACATTACCAATTAAGCTTCTCTCTTATAAAGAATGAGGGATTGAACCCTAACTTTCTTCCATACCCCTCCCTTGACTCTTTCGATCTTCTATGTCAAAATCTAGTGAATAAATCTTGCTAGTCCCGAGTTTTAATCAAAATAACTATAAAACCGACATCACAATTTGCAGCAATTAAAGAAATTGTAGGATATTATAAATTATAAAAATAGTAGCAAAATTATTGCGTGATTTAAAAACTGTTTGGTGAAGATTAAAATTAGTTTTTTAGTAAATTTTGATAAAAGTTGTTGAAATGCGTGGTTTAAAAATTGTGAGTCTCGTAAAATGTGTGGTTAAAATTAGTTGTTGACTTTAACTTAGATTAAAATTAAAATTTCAATTTTTACAAGAGAGGGTCTTATTTGATTTTAAATTATCATAAAGTTACAAAATATATACACGTGTGTATATTTATAAACCTATGACCATCAACAATGACTTGCCATTCAGATGAAAACTTTTACGAATGGCTTTTATGAATTTTAATATTAGATAATTGTTAGCGATCACCATCAAAATTCTTTAGTGACAATTGCCAACGGGCACAAGCACTTGGCTAGTGACACTTGACGAGGTAAGAATAAAATTTTGAAATATAAATAAGGGTCTGTTTGAGAGTGATTTTTTCATAAAAAAAATTGATTTTTTGATCGTTATTTCACCATTTCAACCGTCATATTTGATTTATTCTCTCACAGATGAACCTCATTTTTCTCTTAACGGTCAAAAAATCAATTCTCAAAATTACTCCCAAACAAGCTCTAAAGTAACTTAAAATATGTAGATAAAAACGAATTAAATATTATAAACAGTTTATCAATAATATGACCCAAAAAGGAATTATTTCCTTAGTTCCCGTTTGATTATAATTTTTTAAAATTCATTTTTTTTTACTTACTCATTTGTGGGATCAATAATTTTCATTTATTTCTTAACCATGTATTTCATCATATTTTATAAATTTACTAAAAATTTGATTTTTATCTAAATAAAAAAAGGACTTCGTCTTCAAGGAAACATTAAGATCTTGTTTGAGTTTCGTTTTTGGGAAAAATTTGATTTTAGAATATTATTATTATTATTTTTTATTTTTTTGGATTTCGTAACGAAGAAATATGAAATTTTTTTTATGTTTATATGTAAAATTATTTTATAAAAAATTGTGTAAATGAAAATGAATTTTTGATAAAAAGAAGCTATGGTCTAAACAAAAATAATGGGTTAACAACGGGCAATACCAGTCGTTGTAATTTGCACAAGTCAAGACAGCACTGATGCCAGACGGCTTCTGATCCAACGGTCCAGATTGTCGCGTCACCTTCAAGCTTCAAAAGCCTTGACAAAATAAACAAGAAAGAAAAACCCTCGCATTTTAGGGCTAAACAATACAAAACTTACGCCTCCCACAGTTCGCTCTCTCTCTAAAGCAGCACGAATCTATGGTAAGAATTGAAATTTTCCCTGAAATACTTGGCTTCTAATTCGTTTAATGTTTTGATATGGTCAAGCGGTGAGATTTTAATTGATTTATGGGGTTTTCAATCATTTTTGTTTTTCTCTAAATATTTTATTTTCATTAATTTGTTTTATGTTTTGATATGGTTAAATGTGTGGTATTTAATTGATTTATGGGGTTTCCGATGTTTCTTTTTCTTTTTTAATTTCAGGCATTGCCAAATCAACAGACTGTGGACTACCCAAGTTTCAAGCTTGTAATTGTTGGCGATGGTGGCACGGGTAATTTTCTTAATTTCATTTACGACGATTTTGATTAAAACAATAATTTGCCTTTTTTTGGGGGGGGGGGGGGGGGGGGGGGG